TTACCTTCAGAAGTATTAAAAAAAAAAAAAAGCTGAATTCTGCACCTAAAATAATTAGGAAAGACACTGTCTCCTTAGTCATGAGTTATTACTGCAGCACCTTTGTAAGGCGCCCGAGGAAGTTGCTTTCTCACTAGGCACTGTTTCCCAGTGATGAAAATGACAGCTTGGCTTAGGTATACCCTTTTGAGGGTCCATCAATACAGCACTCGGGAAGTGGTGCCAGGCTTGGAGAAACAGGCGAATGAATGCAGGACGGCGTGCTTCCTGAACCTGGTTCTTCCACAGACAGTCAAGGTCAGAGTGGGACTTACTTTCTCTGTGGGCATATGATAGAGAAACTATGAAAGTATAAAACAAAATGCTGAAAGTATAAAACCTTGCTGGCCAGGGTATCATGCCAGCAAGAATGATGGACAGAGTAGAGAGAGGAGAAAAGAAAGAGGCCTTTTAACAGCAAAACCACAATACAGACGAGAAGCTCAGAGTTTCGGGATCACACCAGGTACAAGCTTCTTTACGTTAGTTTAGATTTTCAGCAACAGCTGGGAAGAATTGAGGTGTGTTAGAAATTCACTATCCTGGGTAAATGGATAAAGCACTAAATCATGTTTAGGGACTAGTTCTTTGCAGCAAATTTAAATTTGACATCCTTATTAATAATGAATGATTTAGCTACATTAAAAATAAACTGTAAGATTTTTGCAAGTATTTCAATGTATAGAACAGAATGAAATGTAAACTACTCTGGTAAAATATATATCCTACTATAATTACATATAGAAATAAAAATTATTCTTATTAGCCCCCTTAAAATGAATACTAAAAATAAGTCTTACAAAAAGTATAGAGCAGTATTTGAATTTAAATTATTTTTTATCCTGATTAAAACAAATGCTACCTGTTACTTTTGTGACAAAAAATATTTGAGAGGTCAATATGAAATGTTCAACTATGTTTTCAGGATAAAATGAGCAACGGGGAAATCATAGTATAGTGCCTGGGAAACAGCATATGCTCAAGAAAGTTTTTTTTTTGTAAATCTGGAACCAAGGATTTTATTACCAATGATAATATGATGTTTGCACAACATTAAGAGTCAAATCAAATCATAGTTTTATCTATTATGGTTCTAAACTAATTACAAAATATTACAAAAAATAACAACGCTTTTCTGTAAGATATGTGTATTGGCTGGGCACGGTGGTTCACGCCTATAATCCTGCACTTTCAGAGGCCAAGGTGAGTGAATCGCTTGAGTCCAGGAGTTCAAGACAAGCCTATGCAACGTGGCAAAACTCCACCTCTACAAAAAATACCAAAATTAGCCAGGCATGGTGATGTGTACCTGTAGTCCCAGCTACTCAAGAGGCTGAGGCAGGAGGATCGTTTGAGCCCTGGAGGCAGAGGCTGTAGTGAGCCAAGACCACACCAGCCTGGCCTCGAAAAAAAAAAAATCTGTATTAGACACTGTGTATCACACAGTAGCAGCGTTTGTTTTCTTATGACCAAATTAATGGTCAAATTGTTTTTTACTGAAAGCAAGTTTCTACCTTATCAAAAGTAAGAAGTTAACACAAAGTATTAAGTAAAAATGATAACGTAAGGATGCAGAATATTCTTTAGTTTTTTTAAAAATACACATAAATATGTGTATACATAAATGTGTACAGAACTTTTGAAACCTATACATATTCAGTTATTTAAAAAATCTAACAGACTTTTACTTAAAAATCGTTTGAGAAACTTTTGAACCCCTTTCTTTGAAGTAGGCAGAAGTCCTGCATTGAAAAACAAAGGACTTATCTAAGAACAAAAGGATTTCTTCAGAATTTTCCAAGTTGTTGCAGCTTGTCAATCCCTCCCCCCACAGTACCACAAAGTAGTGTACACAAAAGGATGGGGGAAAAGGTGATTTTCCTTAACGCTGGCCACTGACACACCTTGAAGCCATACTTGGTTTAACCAAAGCCTATGGTGATCAACTGGCCTTTGGAGAATAATTTAACTACTCAACAGCTGGAAAGAGAAACAAGATTTAGTGAAAAAAGCACCATGCTGATGAACAACAATATTGCCCATATTAAGCTCTATTTTCTGAGTCAAAGTTTGGGTCATGTAAAAGTAAAACTGGCCCCAGAGAAGAGAACCGTTTCTCACAGATTGCCATTTAAACCTCAAATGACCATGTTTCACAGCAGGCTCAATACATTCCAGCATGTAACTGCATTTTAATTTCCTAAAACCACAGGATATAAGTCTGATTTCAAATAGTGTCTGGACTGTGACATTCAATACTGATAAAACTGTGTGTGATATTCTCTTGAAAGTTCCACAGATTCAGCATATGAAAAAAAGATCTTCGATTTCTTCCAAGCACTTATTCTCAAAGAAATTTACTCTCGAGTTTTGTAAATGAATTCTAAACAATGAAGATTAAGAGCTAAAGCTACTGCCATAAGAAATGTAACCTACTAGTTATAGGAAAAGAACACACAATATATTCATCGCTCACAAGGATATAGTATGTTCGTGACAAAAAATGGTCATTATGAGACTTTAAATATTTTTTGCCATGTTCATTAGTATGTATTCTGGAAAATAATTTTTAAATATATTAACATGAATGTTTATTTGAATGTCTATTCAATGGATAGAAATTATTCAGTCATCTTTTCAACTTTATAAAAGGAGAATTTGTGTTTAGTCTCCAAGTATTATGTAAGAAGAAATGCAACCTTTAAAACTGATCAATAAGGAAAAAAAGAAGGCGAAGCTATCATAAGTTGGGGAGTAAGAAATTTAGGATCATAATATTATTGGAATGCAACTTAAACAGAAAAAGTTTTATATGTGAACATGAAATCTTTTAGTAAGATGTTCAGCAGTTTTCATCATAGGGACTGGACTGACCTGACCTTAAGAAAGCTAGAGGAGAAATTTTTTTTGAGGGAAGAGAGGAGAGTAGATAAGTGTATGCTTTCTCTTATAATCCTATTGCCTTTGGCTTTCGGCCTGACTCCACAACTGATTGACAAATTTAATATTTGTTTTTAAGCAACATATCTGATCAATGAGGTGTAACTTTACTCAGAAGGAAATGATCAGACGTTGACTAATAATTTCAGGTGTGGGAACTATAAAGCTCTGGTTATTCTAAGAAACCTAAACATCCAGAAAAACTGGGGCTAATGCCAGGGTACCTGGCATATGAGTCATCTGTGTCCCTATGGTCACTCGTCATCAGATTCTAAGGTATCATCATGTGTAAGGAGGAGTCACTCTTGATTTCATAACAGCTTTTCAAGGAGATAACAAAATATATTACATGAGCCTTTTTTTTTACACGAAAAACCTGATTTGTGAAACAAATGCACATCTTAGAACTGAAGAAGTTACTGCATCCCTTTCCCTGCCCCCTTATCTTTCATTTGGTTTTGCCCCATCTACTCCTCTCTCCTCCTCCAGGCTTTCCATTGATCTTTCCTTCTTTTTTCCCAAACTTAGACAATGGGTGGTAGCTGGAAAAATGTTCATACTCTTATGAAATAAGGATCAGGCATCTCCTCTGTGGTGGGGTTCTATGAGGCCTCAAAGTTCAATTAAGCACAATTGAGAATATCAAGGAACTTTAAGGGGAAGACAAGCCTGTCAACTTAATGCAACCCATCCCAAGAGCATCAGCACCCGTGCCTGTCTTACAAAGCCATGGCTGAAAGCCGGGAGGACTACGAGGGCTGTGTGGAGGAGTGCTGCTTTGAACTGTGAGTGGTACTTAGACTACAGGGAGGTAAACAAAACTGCACGATTTTGCAGAGAGAGAGATCACAGTAAATAAAAGTAAATGCAGACAAAAGCCTGTGGCAGATATGGGATGCAGCGTTCTAATTTGGCAAGTGACCACCAAAAAACAGTAATGGGGGCTGTTCTTAGCATGTTTATCTCATTTTAATCCTCATTACAGCTCAATAAGGTAGATCCTATTATTATCTCCATTTTAAAAGTGAGAAATCTGAGACCAGGGAGATTATTAAATTGCCTAAGGGCATACAGTTTACCAGCTGATCATGAAGCCGGGATTTGAATCCAGGAAGCCTAACTCCAGGGCTATACTTTTTTTTTTTTTTTTGAGACAGAGTCTTAGACTGTTGCCCAAGCTGAAGTGTAATGGCGCAATCCTGGCCCACTGCAACCTCCACCTCCCGGGTTCAAGCGATTCTCCTGCCTCAATCTCCTGACTAGCTGAGATAACAGGCACCGACCATCAAGCCTGGCCAATTTTTGTATTTTTAGTAGAGAAGGGGTTTCACCATGTTGGCCGGGCTGGTCTCGAACTCCTGACCTCAGGTGATCTGCCTGCCTCGGCCTCCCACAGTGCTGGGATTATAGGCGTGAGCCACTGCACCCAGCCAGGGATATACTTTCAATGTCTGTATATACTCTTAGAACACAGAACACCGAAAATGGAACAATGGGGAACAAAATACGGCTGGGACTATACTGGAGGGGTACACCAGAGATAAGAAGAAGGTCAAAAAAGTATTGTCACAAAATCCATTACAGTCTGTTTGCCTCCATGAAACCATTCTACAACTTTATTCTGTCCAGTTGGTCAATATATCTGTCTCCTCTACACTGACTAAATAATCCAACTAGAAGTCAATTTTTAGGCACTGTGATAGTTGGAAAAGATATGAATATTGATATCAGCCCCTCAAAGCATATAAAAACTAACCTAATGGGAGAAGCCAGGTCAGTAAGTGGCACGAGCACATGAGGTTTCTTAATTTTGTGCCAAACTGTGAGTGTGAGTTTGTGTGCATGTGCAAAGTCTTCCTCTATCTTATACACACACACACACACACACACTCATGCACAGCATGCTCTATAATATATACAAAGCTACCTGGATCTTGTTAACAGCCACAGCCACAGTCACACACACATGGATCATAAAAACAAAGCCAATGATTTCCAGCTGAGCTCAGCTCCAAACTTACCTGCTTCTGGGTCCTGGTTGAAACGGCAGTACTTGGAGTTTTCAAGTGAGGGCAGGCATTGCTCAATGGGGACCCAAACATATGTCTCGGGGCACAGCAAATCAGAAGGTCTATACTGACCCTGAAGAAAGGTGAAGGAAAAAGGCACAGGCATTATTAACACAGCAACGCCAGAGATAAAGGGACCAGGGATCTAGGAAAGGTTTAAAGCAAAAACTTAAAAGTCAATCAGAAACTGTTTTACTGTAAATACTAAGCAACCCTGTAGCTGATAGCTTTCCTATCTCAGGAAAGCACGTCTGACTCAAGGCTCTCTGAAAGTTAACCAGCACACTTAGGATGCCTGTGTTGATTTGGAAAATTTGAGGTTTTACTCCCTTTTAAAAGAAATATTTAATGTGATTCTTGCTGAGCTGACTGAGAATAATCAGTTTCAAAATTAAGTTGTCTTTTAAATACTAGTTAATTAACAAAGAAATTTCTTTTCATGTATTAGAGTACTATATAAAGTGAACTTATTTTTCAACATGGAATTTCAGTATCCTTAATGACAAATTTTTTAATTTTTGATTTGTAGACTCAGTTGACAATATTCATTCTGTTCTAATGTAGAAAGTACTGTCTTATCACTATACTTCTACTATAAGCAATCTAAATTGATAATATATAATATAGAGAAGCTTAAGAAACAGAAGTTTCAGGCAAACATCTGATAATCCACTAAACTTTCTTCAAAAATCCCATTTAAAAATTTTATATATATCTCTCTTTTTTTTTTTTTTTTGGAGACAGAGTCTTGCTCTGTTACCTAGGCTGAAGTGCAGTGGTGCAATCTTGGCTCATGCAACCTCTGCCTCCTAGTTTCAAGGAATTCTCCTGTCTCAGCCTCCCGAGTAGCTGGTATTACAGGTGTGTGCCACCACGCCAGGCTAATTTTTGTATTTTTGGTAGAGAGGGGGGTTTCACCATGTTGGCCAGGCTGGTCTCGAACTCCTGACCTCAGGTGATCCGCCCACCTCAGTCTCCCAAAGTGCTGGGATTACAGGCATGAGCCACTGTGCCTGGCCGATTTATATTTTTATAATCCAATTATACACCTCAAATCTAACACAAAGACTATACAATACATGCTGAAGAAAAAAAATCATTCACTTAATGGGGATAATGAAGATGATATAAATTATGTGAAAGCATTTTGTGAAAATTTTCGTAACTATCAAGGTTTTGTATTCTTTGGGCTTATTTAAAATTCCAAGTGTCTCTCCTCTAAATTTTAAAATTCATCATAGAGGTTAAAATCTAGTATAGTGTTTTTCAATTTTTCTTTTACTACAACCCATAGTACAAAATACATTCTATATCACAGCCTAGTAAACATATTTGCAAACATAAAACCAGAAACAAACCTTTTAGTATACAATGCTTACCCATGTTATGTTCTAGTCTACTTTATTTCATTTTTCTAAAAATGCTGCTCATGAACCACCAAAACTGCTTTTACAAGCAACAAATGGGTCACACCACAGAGTTTGAAAAACACCAGTGCAAAACTCATTACAAAGAATACAGTGATGCTTTACAACAGTGATGCTTTACAACAGAAAGGCTCTATACCAGGTGCTGTGTGAGTCACCATACGAAACATAGATATAAAATGAACACCACGCCCTAGCAGCCCACAAAGCATTCAGAAGTCTGGAAGTCAACGAGGGAGGCTATACATCGACAAAATGTGAGGGAACATTCTTTCCTGTTTGAGTGTATGGGAGAGGGTTCAAGGAGGATATGGGGTTTTACTGAGGACTTAAAAGACTGACTGAATTAAGCCTAGGGTAGGATGAAAAGAATGAGAACAATCTAGATAAAGGGAACAGCACAAACAAAGACACATAGTTGGGCCAAGCAGAAAACTCTAAGGAACAGGAAATGGCACCACAGGGATGGAACAGCGGGGTTGGAATCAGATTCTGGGAGACATTCTGGGCAACAGTCACATGTTTGGAATTTTCTTCTAGATGAAATGGGAGGCTTGCTGGATAAGAGGGAGAGTTTTGTTCTATTCCAATAGGAGCAGATAACAGGGTGAAGACCAGAAGTCCGGTCTCTGACTCAGTTTTCCCGGAGTGCTCACTGCACTGTTGCTGCCTCACTGCCCTACAGCAGTAGAAGGCCTTCTACAAGCGGCAGCTCCAGGTGGTCTACAGACGCATCTAACATTAATATTCAAACACAGAATTAGGAGTGAATTGAGGATTTACTTAGGAAGTGTACTAAAGCCAGATACTTCACTGCTATCTATCTTATCAAAAACAATGGCATTATCTCCATTAAATCAGAAACTGTTTTACTAGGGGAAAGGACATGAATCTGAAAACTAGACAGCATTCTAAAGCTGTGGTTCTAAATCCATTTTTTCCTTCTTGGTTACAGATCACTTTGCAAATCTGATGGGAAAAAAGGCTAAATATAAAAGCTAAAGATATAAAACTTCTGGGGGGGAAAAGGACTAAATTTTCTTGACCTTGGAGTATAAGCGGTGGCTCAAGCCTGTAATCCCAGCACTTTGGGAGGCCGAGGCGGGCAGATCACGAGGTCAGGAGATCGAGACCATCCTGGCTAACACGGTGAAACCCCGTCTCTACGAAAAATACAAGAAAATTAGCCGGGCGAGGTGGCGGGCGCCTGTAGTCCCAGCTACTCGGGAGGCTGAGGCAGGAGAATGGCGTGAACCCGGCGGGGCAGAGCTTGCAGTGAGCTGAGATCCCGCCACTGCACTCCAGCCTGGGGCACAGAGCAAGACTCCGTCTCAAAAAAAAAAAAAAAAAAGTTTTCTTTTGAAAACAAAATGCACCAACCATAGAGGAAGAAAACTGATGAACTATACTTCCTCAAAATTATCTTCAAAAAAACTAGTAGGAAAATAGGAAAGCCAAAAACTGGGAGAAATTTTCAACAAAACATATATTAAAAAACAGACTTGTATCCGGGATATATAAACAATTGTAACAACTCAATAATAAGAATACAATCCATTTTTTTTTAAAAAGGCAAGTCACTTAAGCACTTCACCAAAGACATATGAATGCCTAATAAGCATGTGAAGAGATGTTCAACATCGTCAGTTACCAGAAATGCAAATTAAAACCATAACAAATTATCACTGCATGTCCACTAGAATGGCTAAATTTTAGAAAGATGGAAGAAACAAGTTTTGGTAAGGATTTGGACTAACTAGAACTTACATATTGTTGGTTTAAAATGGTGAAGCACTCGGTAAAAATATAAATATTCTTGTACATATATCATTTGTGAATATGCCTAGGATAAATTCCTTCAACTGGGAATGTTGGGTAAAAGGGCTGTAACTTTTATAGTGTCAAATGACTTTCCACAGAGGTTGTGCCATTTTATATTCTCATCACCAACGTTATGCTCCCAAGTTGATTTCCCTCACATCCTTATCAAGATAGTATATTATCAAAACTTTCAATCTTTGCTGTTCTGAAAAAAGACACTTCATGTGGTTTTAATTAGCATTATGTATCTTCGTATAGAGGAATTTGCATTTTTCTTTTTCATAAAGTTGGCCCATTTTATTGTTAAATTGCTGGCCTTTTCTTATTAAACAATTCTTTATATATTAAGAACTCTTTATATATTAAGCCATTGGTTTGTAAAATATGTCATAAATATTTTCCAATTTTATGTATCTTCTGACTTTGTATGCCATATTCTTATGCCATATGAAAATCTGATGTGTGGTCAAATCGATCATTTTTAAAAATGGCCTCTGGGTTTACACAATAATTAAGAAGGCCACCCTCACTTTCAAGATTATGAAAACATATCTTCATATTTTTTCTAGTACTTTCATGGTTTTACAATATTACATTTACATTTATGCTCCATCTGGAATGTATTGTGGTATAAGGTATACAAAAAGAATCCAACTTAATTTCTTTCAAATGTTTATGCAATGGCCTCAGCATCATTATTAAAACAATCTTCATTTCCCCTGCTAATTTGGTAACTTACTGAATTCCCATATATAGGGAAATCTCTTTATGGACTTTCTATTCATTCTGTTATACTGACCTGTCTGTCTTATCATGTACCAGTGCCACACAGTTTTAACTATTAAAGCTTTATATTATATTTTAATATCTTACAGATTTAATTCCCCCTCATCACTCTTCATTTGTAGAATTTTCTGGCTTATTTTACTTAATTGTTTGAGGATTCTGAATTTGGTACAAAAATATTAGTAACATGAGTAAGGAAACACTAATAAAAATGGAATGGCATATCTTGATCATTGTGACAACAGAACATAAAAGAAGAGAATACCCAGGCTGGGCAACACAGTGAGACCCCGATCTCTAAAAAAAATTTTTTTTAATTAGCTAGACATGGTAGTGCATACCTATAGTCCCAGCTAATTGGGAGGCTGAGGTGGGAATATCACTTGAGCCCAGGAGGGTAGAGGCAATAGTCAGTAGTGATTGTGTCACTGCACTCCAGATCAGGTGACAAAGACTCTGTCTCCAAAAAAAAAAGGAGAAGAGAATACCAAGAATGTCTGGTAAAAAAAAAGAACACATGTATCATCTCAAAAAACAACGTAAGATCTTAAACATACTAATGGCCCCATCTTCTAATATAAGGTGGAACTGAATGCTCGTTCACTGGCAAAAAAGCACAGGACAAATATTGAGGATGGAGATGGGGGTGATCAGACATCAACTTTTGAGTCCTTAAGGAGAAAATAGAGCCTGTTTTCCTTAATAACATAAACCTTGCAGATATGCAGATTCATCAACAGCCACCTGAACCCAGTGCCTAGATTTAACAACGATGCTGACCATCAAGAACATTTAGTCGGCTGGGCACCGTAGCTCATGTCTGTAATCCCAGTACTGTGGGAGGCTGAGGCAGGCAGATCACTTGAGGCCAGGAGTTTGAGACCAGCCTGGCTAACATGGTGAAACCCCATCTCTACTAAAAATATAAAAGTTAGCCGGGCGTGGTGATACGTGTCTATAATCCCAGCTACTCTGGATGCTGAGGCACAACAATCGCTTGAGCCCGGGAAGCAGAGGTTACAGTGAGCCAAGATCGCAC